AATCGACATATGTTCTCCCTCATATGTGGATCCTAGAACCAGACTCTGACACACAATAACTAAAAGTACCAGACTGGTGGAACTAACCTTCTTGGATATTTAACAGACATACTTTGAGGTCTATAATAATTTGGTCAGAGGGACATAAAGGATACTTTTTGCCCCTTGCCCTCCTAGGTCGACTAGTTCCAGGGGACTATGAGCATCTCTCAAAATGTCCTATAATGGTGGTGGGTCACCTGTCCTCTTGATCAAGGAGGCCGAGGAGACCCCACTAAATGGACTTGAACAAATGTCCAGTCTATAAAGAGGAGGGTCAACACAGAGGAATCACTTCCTCCATGCTTCCAAGCGAAGCCAACCATGGTCGAGCAGAACCTTTGACTTATTTTCATATAGGCGGAACTGGTAAAAGAAAGGAGCCAGGGGCTCCTCCCAAGCCCATGTGACCCCTGAGGAACAGATCCTCAAATGACCTTAAGAATAAAAATTAATCGGTTTATCTGGACCAACTCTATGGCCTTAAACACCCAAAAGGAAAGTATAACCAAAGATTAAATGGGCCAACATAACTTCATCAGAGTCCATACGTATAGCTAAAGGCTATATAACAAGCAACAATGCCAGATAAGTGATACCTTCTTTTGAGTTGGTGGCCAGGGTGGCCAAAGGGATTCCCAGATAGTAATCCAGCACAGAACTGGGAAAATGAACAGCAGACCCCAATCTTACCCAAAGAATATAGACAACTGATTACCACTAGATGAGGAACACAGCTGACCTTCCTAAAACAAAGACCTCTAGATAGGCTGACTAGATTCACCAGAAGGGCAAGTAGTGGGGAATGGCTGGGGGTGTCGACAACACAGCAGACAGTAGCAGGGATATCAGAGTATAAGGGCTCTAGTGGAAGGAGGGAGGCTGTGGGAGGGTGCCATCTGGGAAGTGGGTGTATAGTTGAATAAGATGGTTTGGGATGTTCAGTGTGATACACACACACACACACACATAAATCAACAAATTTTAAAAAATGTATTATAGTTGAGGAGGGATTATGGAAATTTACATCATGTTAATTAGCAGAGGTGATAAACATTACCAGCTCAGAAAATAATGGACTGTGATTAGTAATAATCAGATATATAGAGATTAGAGACACATGTGCAAACATCTAAGCACCAGTTGCACTAAAAATGAGTTTTTTTCTGTATGAAACTGTATTTTAATAATGAAATGGAGAATTTTTTTAAAGTTTAAAACCTCATTTAATTTTATGTCTTATAGGCGATGTATGGAGTACAGTATTGTATAACTATAAGAATTCAACTGGAAA